TTTTTTTTTTTTTTTTCTTTGCATGTATGTATATGTATGTATGCATGTCATTGGCTCGATGTTATCGTTTCGTGGGTAGCCACTTTCACTTAAACGTTATCACGTAGTGTGAATAGTTAAAACTGACACGTCCTTGTACTGCATTTCTGTCAGCTTACTCTCTCGCATCCTCATCATCCACTTCTCCACCTACTCTTTTTTTTTTTTTAACTTCTTTTTTTTTCTTTTTTTTTTCTTTTCATACCACAGTCTCATGTCTTTTTCACCCTTTCTTAACGCCAGTGTGACGCTTTTGATTGGGTGGATGTGCTGTTATTTTTTTTTTTTTTTACTTACCACACGTGAAGCAGTGGTGGTGGTAGCAGCAGCAGTAGCAGTAGTAGTAGTGGGAGTCTTAACAGGAACCTTCTTTTTCTCAGTGGTGCCATTGGACTTATTTTCCACCTTTTGCCGTTTTGTCTCTCCTGCTGTTGGCAGTGAAGAAGACACGACTGTGGACTCCACGTTATTATTATTATTATTCTTCTTCTTGTCAACACCGTTTCCGTTACCATTACTGCTTCCACCACGACCAACATGCTTCTTATCACTCTTCTTATCACTTTTTTTGCTCTTCTTGTTATTCTTCTTCTTATCCTGTTGCTTTTTATTCTTCTTCTTCTTTATGATGAGATTCTTTGGTACACTTGCCAACTGCTCTGCGAAGCTGTGGGACTCGTAGTCAATACCAAGTCGCTGCAGATGCGCATTATTCGCCGCCTCCTTCTTTGTATACTTCACCAACGCCGCCACTGGATTCTTACGGCGCACATCATGTCGCTGCAGTGGTCTTCCACGAGTGCTGTACACATACGCGAGTCGTCGTCGTCGTGTGGTCTTCTCTTTTGTGGGCATCGCGCGGTGTAAAGTAACGCGGTGGGCCTGCACGGCGCGGCCGGCGAGAGACATACCGTGGCACTCCTCAACGACAATTGGCAACACCGCGTCGGTGTCGAACTGCACATACGCAATGCCCTTCGACTGGTGGGTGCGGCGACTGCGCACACAGAAGCAATTCAGCACGCGGGCACCGAACTGTTCGAGGAATTTGTACAACTGCGGCTCTTGGAACTCCGGCGGGAGAAAACGCAGACGGAGGGCGGAGTAGGAGAGACGCGTGCCATCACGTTGGGACTTCTCAAACGGGTTTGTCTCCTCCTCCCACGCCGCCTCATCACTCGCCTCACTTTCAGCGTCGGCCACATTACTCAAGTCATCCTCGCTGTTCTGGCTCTCATTATCATCACGGCTGCTGTCATCCTCCTCCTCGCTGTGGTTATCATGAAGATTGTCGGCGTTCTCTACATCCTTTTCTGCGGCTGCGGCTGCGGCCTCTTCATCTTCTTCTTCCGCATCCCGGCGACGTTTTTTAGCCTCAATAATACCACCCACTGCGGCGCGCTTGGCGGCTGCGGCTGCGGCTGCGGATGATGACGTGCTAGACTTTCCAGCGGATGACTTTTTTGTCGGATCAACTCCCTCAAAACTCACACGACGGCGTGGGGCCTTCGCTTCAGTGCGAACAGTGACAGTTTCAACGGCGGCCTTCGCTGCATCTGCCGCTGCCTCGGCGAAACTCTTCTTTGCATTAGCCTTCTTTGTAGCGGCCTTCTTAGGTGGCACCTTCTGCTTTAGTCCCATTTAAACTAGATGTGGCCGAGGTGTTCTTCTCAGAAAATGGAAAGTTATACATATTATAAATACAAAAACGAGCATAGATATCATAAAGGAGAGAGAAGAGAAAAGAGGAAGAAACAAACAAACAAAATAATAAAGAAGAATATCAATATAAGTATAAGAGAAGTAATTTACAAAAAAAAAAAGAAAGGAAAAACCATGAAGACAAAGAAAAAATGTCTTATTATTTTTTCTTCTTCACATGTTTTTGTGTCTCTTCAGCTGCACATTCCTTTTCTTCTTGCGAGTATGTGTATGTGTATGTGCGCGAAAACTGTTCTTTTTTCTTTTTTTTTTCTTTTTCGCTTTTTTTTTTTCTTTTTCTTCTTCTTTTCTTACATCTATTTACAGGACAATACAGGATTTTCCTTCTTCCACTGGATGGAATTTAAAAAATTCAAGATTCAAAACAAAACCTTTTTTTCTTCTTTTTCTTTCTTCTTCTTCCCCTTTCAGTCTAGTATTCCCCAATTCCATTTGGTTTTGTAAAACCTCTACGACATTTTCCTGCCGGCTCCACGATGAGATATACTATTGGATCGTTGCTTGTCTTGTTGTTGGCCTTGCTCTTGTCCTGCTGGTCCACCAAAAGATTTATGATACCACAACATCGCATCTGCTAATCGTTCTTGCAAGTTAAGAGTTGTCGCGGATGCTCTTCTAACTGCATTACCATTAGCATTAGAAGTTGATTGAAGTAATGTGTGGCCATCTCTATGCAGTTCTGTATACCATCGCAATACCACCTGTTGAGCCATTCCTGCTATTTGTGCAATCATGTTCGCTGCTGTGTCCGCCATTGCATCTTTTTGTGAAAATATCATTTCCGCCGCTGCAGCTAAGACGGCAATTTCAAGATACATATGCTGCATAACAACACTCCACCGCATGGCTGCGGCCTCTGCTGTAAGAGATACGGGTCGTTCTGGAAATTCAGAATCGCCTCTACTAGAAACAATAATTCTATACATCCACTTTACACGTTGAACCGTTTCTTCTGGTACTACACGTTTACGTAAAAGTGCTGTAGCCTTCGCCATGATTTGTCGGGTTGAGACATTATCTGCTGTAGGTGAAGTAGTAGCAGTGTTCGCAGAGAGACCGCTGCTATTCCTTTTATTGTTGGCCTTATCACTTACATTAGTGGATAAGAATCCCTCGTTAGGGGGAAATACTACAATCACTGCTTCTGCAAGAGCAAGTGGATAACAATCCCGTAGTGAACCATTAACTTGCAATGGACCAAGCAGTGGACTGTAGAGGCATGAAGATTGGCGTGAACGTCCTAATCGTCCTAATTGACTGCGTGATCGTCCATCTTCAGAAGGTGGAGATGATAAAAACATTGTCGCACCTCCCTCTGGTACTGTTTTAAGAGTTGTAAGGATAGAAACAGCGAGTTCATCTGCATTAAAGAGTTGTCGCATCTCACTTGTGCTTGAGAATTCATCTAGACAAAGTGCTAATTGTTCGGCAATGTGTATTTTCATCTTTTTTGATCCTGGCATCTGTAATGTAGTACGAAGAGTATTTACCATCGATACCATACATTCAATCGCACGGGTACGTAATCCCTCATATTCCCCACCTTCTGATACGGTTGAGATTGTGTCACTTAATGGACTATTAAGACACCGGACTGTTATTCGCAGCCAAGCAGCACATACACAATGAAACAATATAGAGGTTCCTATCATACTTTCACGCAATAGCGGTAACACCGTATGAAAGAGTGTCATTGTAGGACAACAGTTGGTGGAGCCAAGAGCAGTAGCGAGATGGGCACCAACGAGACGCACCGTAGGGGATTCATGTGAAAGAGCAGCCACAATATTATACCCCGTGATGGCGATTATACTTGCCGTAAGGGCATCATCTTCACTCAGGGTAGAAACAGAGGTTACACTTCCAGAACGTTTAAAAGGAGATCGTGAAGAACTGCAACGCATCCCATGTGAGAGACGTATCAAAAGAGAACGTAATAAAAGATAAAAACTACATCTTCCATGAATATTATTCAATCCTGTTAAAGCATCATACACTGCAGAGAGTAAATCGGGTAAAAGTTTTGCTGCAAGTTTTCTATCTGTAGGTAATGCAGCACATAGTAGTATTGCATGAATATCAGCGATTGGATATTCAAGAGAACATAAGGAAACCTTCGCATGTGGTAAAATATCTTCACAGTAAACTGATGCGGTAATAAAAGCATCAGCATCTGACATACTCGTAAGCAAAGAGGCTACAAATGCATAACGTTGTGGTATTGAATAGTTCTCTGACGGTGCTTGTTTCCTCCATATTTCTCCTTTAGCAGAGGAAGAGTGAGAGGAAGGTAATCGACTTCGCCCCTGTTGATGATTCCAATGATTTTGTTCTTGTTGGGATGAGTGTGGTGATTGTTGTTGTTCGTCTTCTCGCGATATCCAAGATGGAGTCGCAAGGAAAAGTTCCGCAACTTTTGCGAGGGAAAACCCATGATAAAAGACAGACTCCATCACTTCATTAACGTTAGAGAAGAGTGAACTCCACACACGGCACTGTACTAACGCACTAAATGTCGCCTCTTCACGAAGAAAATAACTTGTGAAGGCTGTGGCATTATCACGTGCACAAGGCCAATCTTGTCCAGCCGCTTGTTTCCGTACAAGAGATTCAATTACTTCTTCTGGTGTAGCAACATACATACCGAGACTTGGCCTATCCACCTGTTGTTGTTGTTGTTGCTGTTGTTTTTGATCTTTGTTATCTGCAGATTGTGATTTTCGTTTTTCTTGTTTTGGAGGTGGACGTACAACTGTTTGTTGTACTTCTGAACGGCGCAATGAGACGGAAAATCCCATTGGTGGTTTTTTACCATTTTCACCTTGACCATCGTCAATTGCCAACGCTGCAAGATCTGAACTTATCTTATCATCTGTAATAGCTTGAAAAACACGTTTCTTTGTAGTTGTAGGTACTGAAACATGATCTGCTCCTCTTAATGCTGCCATACTTCGCACTGGTAGTTCCCGCACACGTGAGGTCACAACATTAGAATTATCCGCAGATGTTCTAGAAAGATCAATACTTAGTGTAGATGGAGCTTGAACGTTTGAATGAGTCATAAATGTTTGTGGTGTTTCTACCATTGGTGCTGGTAATGGTGGGGCCTCCACAATAACGCGTCCTGTTAAGTGTGTATACAACTGTCGAAGTAATGAGTTTGCGTAGTCATCACGACAGGCAATTAAACCATCTATCATACGATCACTGATGGGGCAGTTATTTCGAGCAAACTCCCTTCGCAGCATATCCCAGTTACTACGCTTGTTCGCCTCACTGAGTTTATCCTCGTAGGAGTGCATACTTACTTCTGGCCAATAACGAGAACATATAAGCGCAACAAGAAAGCCATTGGATAAGTCTCGTTTCGGGTTACGTACAGTGCGTGGGAGTTGCAGACCACGCATCCATGTGAGGATCTCCCGCGGTACTCCCGTTTCAGAGGACATCTCTCTTTTTCTCTCTCAGCTGAATACAGGCAGAAATAAAGAAAGAGAGAAAAAAGCCACAACCACACAACTTGGATATTCTTTCGTGAATAGCAATAACAGCAATTAGCACCAGGAGGAGGAAGATGGAGTAAAAAAAATAGAAAAGGGGAGGGTGCAGCTATGTTTTGTCTTTCGTTGCTAATGTGGCCTAAAGAAAAAAGAGAAACACAGAGAAAGAAAAAAAAAAAAAATACAGCAAAATTTCAAATACTTTTTTTTATTCTTCTTCATTATTGTATTTTCATTACTTTTCCCACTTCTTCCTTTTTTCTCTCTCAGTTAAAGAATTTTCGAATGGACTCCATGTGCATAAATACACAAATATATAACACCAGAATATATGCACAACTGCATCAAAGAAAAAAAAAAATGATCACCTTATATATATATATATATATATATATATATTCACCGACAGATAGAAATAAAGAGAAAGACGGAGCAAATAATGCCAATCAATGCATAATAACGAAAAACAAAAGTAAAAATAAGAAACACTGTCCATGTTTCTAACGACCAAGGAATACATATTGAACAGCATCCCACCATCGACTCAGTGCCACTGAGAGTCGCTTCCTATAATACTTCCCTATAAGTACTATGAGTGGTTTTCGCTTTAATGCCCAAGATGGATCACGTTGTTGCATGCGTCTAATTTCTTCAAAGTGTTTTGCCGTAAATCCATGCGATCCCTCTGACATTTTCAACTCTGCCTTTGCACGATCAGCTCGTGCCAACAGTTCACGCTCTATTGCGCGTGTCTTTCTCACATATTCGTGCAGTGACGAAACCTCCTTCTGCAGTTCCTGTTCCTGTAGCTTCTGTGAAGATACGGTTCGGCCCCGTTGCCACGGCAGCGTCCATCCCGCCATACTGAGCGGTGCGCCGGGAGCCACAAACGCCGCCGCCTCCGCCTCCATCTCATCTCTCGCACTTTTATTATTATTGTGAATATTTCCACTACTCGTGTGAGTGCCTTGTGATAAATCCGATGGGGCGCGTCCGCGTCGCCCGTCATCTAAAAGCCGGCCGAGAGTTTTGTACGCCTCCGTGACGATCACCATACGATCTGCGGAGGCATTTGGTCCGTGTTGATCCGGATGGTGTTTCTTCACTAACTCCACATAGCGCTTCTTTAGTATGCGCTTGTCCAGCGGTGGGGCGGTAAATCCCATCACCCGACAGGCCTGGCCCACGTTAAGGGACATGAGAGCTCGGGTGCGGGTGATCATGGTGGAATCTTTACTCCTTTTTTTTTTTTTTTTTCCCACTCGCCCGGAGACTCTCCTTTCATTCAATAATATATAAAAGTTTGAGAAAATGATATAGATATAGATATAGAGAGAGAGAGTGAGGAAAAAAGAGTAAAGGAAACAAAAAAGAAAAAGAAAGGAATTGGAAGAACAAGACACATTACAACGTAAGTGAGTGGAAATATATATATATATCTTTTTTTATTCATGACCTTTTCAGAGGTTTCAGAGAAAGAGCACAGATACATTTGTCCATTCTGTTTTTTTTTTCTTTTTTCTTTTGCGTTTTTCATTCTTCTTGTTTTGTTTCATTTTCTTCAAATTAACTCCAAAAGAAGAGATGGATCGTCAAAGAAATAGACATCTATGCAGGGCCAGAAGAAAACACACACACACACACAATCAACATTTATAGCACTTCAAAGAGTACATCAACACCTAATAGCTGGTACATCTGTGCAACAACACTATCTGCACGGTTAATCCACGCAAAGCAGCTATGATCATCATCATTATTATTCATCATTTGATTATTATCCTTATTTCCATTACTGTCGTTGTCATTAACTAACTGCATTGGTGCTTTACTATCCACATCTAAAAGCAACTCCATAAATCGTTGCAGTAAATGTCCAGCACGGGCGGGTTCACCACATAATATATGCACCAAACCCACTTTCCGCCGATGTCGTTCCTCCAGAGAATTCTCTTTTTCTCTTTTCGACTCCTCCACTCGTAATGCCATGTAATAATCCAATAAGTAATCAAAACTGGCAACATCTGCGGTGGCAATAAAATCAAAATAACGTCCTTTAGACTTTGCAAGAGACATCTCCGATTCCACAAAGCTACAGCTAAAGCATGGATAAGGTATAATGCGATCCTTTACAGCAGCAACAGCTGTACTCCAGAGATTCTCATCCTCATTAATCATTGAGCGGAAATGTTCATCCCCACGTAAGAGTGCCTCTGCGGCGAGGAGTACCTGATCTTCTGTGCCTTCTCCTGAAGACGGCGATGCTCCTGCCGCTGCGGCTGCGGCTGTGAGTTGGACCATGCGTGCACTATTGGAATTTGGTAAATTCGAGTCTTTCTGTCGCTTGGCATCTGTAGTACTAGCGCTCAGCAAGAGATAATTGCGTAGCTGTCCACATCGTAATGTTAAATGGGCAAATAAAGTGGCGGCGGTAACAGTTGCAGTTGGATCCCCACCGTCGGCAATGTGCAGGTGATAGCGAACAACTCCCATTTATTTCAGCAGCTACTTTTTAAAGAAGTTACTCTACTCCCCTTCTCTTTACTAACTTTTTTTTTTTTTTTTAAGTTCAACCCGTAAGGAGATAAGTCGTACATGTAGAAAAAAAAAAAGAAACGAAAAAAAGAAAAAAAGAAAACATATAGAGAAAAACAAATATATATATATATATATATAAAACATCAACACAAAGAAACCAAACAAAGAGAACATGAAATGTCTATTTTCTTTTTCTTCTTTTCTTTCATAATTGTAATGTGTACACTTTGTGAATTCAGGCAATGGAAGAATGAAACACACACACACACCCACACACCCACACACCCACATGTATTCCCCCTCAATCAAAGTCTATTTTGAAAACACATTGTTATCCAACCTGTCCATTGGAATCATCCTGAACATTCCTTCTAGTGGAATACAATTCATTAGATTCATCCACGAAGTTCAGATACATTTCACGACGTGATGGCCGTGAAACCATAAGGGGAGGTCCATGATGTTCCTCATTAACGCCTCTATTGTCATTATGATCTGATATGGAAGGTCTATTGTTCCTTCTTCCACTCATTGTCCCTCCCATCACTCCCGCACCTTCTTTCCCTTCTTTTTCTTTTTCTTCTTGTTGTTGCTGTGATCGCTCTCTTAAGAAGTGTGATGGCTTTACTGAGAGTTCTTCCGGTTCGCGCTGCCATTTTTTCTTGTTATTATCTCTTGTCATCTTCATCATCATTGCCTCTTCTCTCTCTGGGGGATGTGAAGTAGTCTTCACACCGCTAAGCCCCACTACCGCAGACAGTCCATTATCATTTTCACCGTTCGCTTCCAATAAAACGTCAGCAAGACTTCGCTGCGTTGGTGGACCTGTTGTTATTGTAGTGTTTGTGTTATTATTAGTATTAGTATTAGTGGTTGCTGATTCTCCATTTGTCAGTTGTTTGCGATAAAGTAATGTTGTCTCTGCCTCTGCCTGCTCTGCTTCTGCACGGCGAAGGGATAAACGCCATGCTGCTATTTCACTACGAAGTTGTGCCTCTTCTTTACGTACACCGGCGAGTTCATCCCGCACGGTGGCTTCCACACCGCGTTGAACTTCAATCTCTGCAAGGACCCGCTCACACTCCAGTTCCTCATTGGCAATTTGACTCTCTAATTCTTTTACACAGCAACGCAGAGAGACTAACTCATTCTGTGCCTCTTCCTGTTGTTCTTGTAGATCCATATAGGATCTTCGTGCAGTGTGGAGTGATGATTGAGAGACACGGAATTCGTTAAATTGTTCGTGTCGGAGTTCCGCCGCTTTTTCTTCTTCCTCCTTTGCAAGACGAGCAGTACGACGTAATGTCAACAATTCAGATTCTAATATCTTTTGTTGTTCTTCTATTGCTTGTATATCTACTTCAAGTAATGCTTTCTGCTGGACTGCACGTTCGGCTTTATCTTTAGCTTCCTCTATTCTTCTTAAAGATTCCGTTTTTAAAGAAGCTTCTTGCTCCAGTTTTTGCTTTATTTCATTTATACGAACACGTAGGATTTCTAGTTCATTTGTACATTCCTTTTCATCCTGTTGATGTTGATCTCGTTGTAGTTTTAATGTTAAGATCTTCTGTTGTAGTTCTTCTATATCATCACTAAGCTTAGTCCCCTCCATCTCAAGGTTATTTTTTTCCTCATGTAATTTCTCAAGTGTGTTATGAACATTCTCAAGTGCATTTTGCTGATCTTTTATTTGTTGCTCAGCCATCATAAGAAGATCCCACAAACGTGCATCCTTCTGAACGGATAACTCCATAAGAGATAAGAGACAAGTTGAGGTCTCTTTCCCTGCCTTTACAAGTGCATGTATAATCACCTCTATTGACTCTTTTACTGGAAGTGTATCTATATACTTTAGATCAGGATAGTTACTTACTGTTGGTAAAGCCACTTTCCCTTTTAACGCAATCAATCCATCATAGGGTGAACTTTCTTCTACAGGTCCTGTTATTTTTCTCTCATTCTTCGTTTTGTTTTTGTTGTGATTGTTTATCCTCCAGGAAGAGGAAGAGGAAGAGGAAGAGGAGGACTCCATCCCACTAGAAATATTATCCCCAGATGTATTCATTTGATAAGGGTCTTTAAACTGGCGTGGGGATCTTTTATTCTCTTCTTCTTCTTCCTTTTCTTCCATTGGTGGAGTTAATGCTGGGAGTTTCTGCACAATATCACAATATTGACGAAGAGCCGGTATTAAGTGTAGTCTCCAGCCGTGAAATGCCTCACGTAATGGTGCCAACACCCGATCTTCCCACTCCTGCACACCATTTGCACATGTTGTTAGTGCCGCCACTGCAGCGCCTTCTACTTTTTCATCATGTAATCTCTTCAATAATGCCTTTTGTGTGGAAAGGAATTCCTCCACTTGTTCCCTTTGAATGGGTAATGAAGACTTAATGGTTGTTGTTGTTGTTGTTCGTGCGGCCTCAGACTCTCCCATCGTCCTTCCCAGTGTGGGAAGAATGGATGGTTGTTGTTCTCTTTCATCTGATCGATTCTTCTTCATCATCATCATATTATTATTATTATTATTATTATTATTATTATTATTATTATTATTATTATTATTATTATAATTATTATTATTAGTAGTAGTATTAGTAGTATTATTATGTTGGCGGGTTTGGTCCAACATCTTTTGCAACTCTTCGCGGCGACGTTGAAATTTCGCTTCATTGCGTTTCTCTAATAATAACAATTCACGTAAAGTTTGTTTGGCTACATCCACACGTCTCTTGAGCTGCGCCACTTCCACAGTGTCCTGAATAGTGTTCTTCCTCATATTTGGAGAAAAAGCAGAAGTGTGTAGTGATGGACTGCCGTTGTTAACACTATGTTGAATAAATGCAGATTCATCCAGGAATGGTTGTGCCTCTAATTCACGATCCATGGAATTCCATGAAGTGTTGATGCGATGAACCGCAGCGGGGTTAATTAAATGGGCAGAGGACTCACTCTGTTCTTTCTCTTGCTCACGTTCTAGGCGTTCACGCTGTTTCTGCAAGCGTCTGTTTGCAAGGACTTGCCGTCCCCAAGCCACCAACGCGGAGGCCTCATCCATTCAACTACACAGAATAGAGAGAGAGAAAGAGAGAGAGAGAGATTAGATCGATAGATAGAGAAAACTATGAAGAGTGAAGGTCTTGTTGATATTATTAGTATTTGTCTCCTTGGTTTCTATGTATATTCATATATATATATATATATATATATATATATACGATGGCTGATTTCCTCTTTTTTCTTGTATGGCTCAATATACGCCAGACTAAACAAACCAGCCCCCTATGATTAGTAATAAAGACAGATCACAATAACAAACAAAAAAGAAGAAGAGAGAGAGAGAGAGAAGTACGATGTAGTTAACATGATTTGTGGGTCATCATAGTAATGATTGTACATTTACAGTAAAAGAACAGAGGATCATCAATCAACAACAATAGCAGCAGCAGCAGTAGCAAGAGCAGTGAGTAATACTATTTTCATTGATGGGGTTGTAACAGGAGTAATAATAGTAATGATAATAATAGTAATAATAATAATAATAATAATAATAAT